TGAGCCTCAGTCCATACTGAAGGCTGCAGTCCTTGACCCTCTGCAGTAAGTGCATGAGGTCCTCCTCAGTTTCAGCGAGCAAGGTTGTGTCATCTACATAACACAGATTGTTGATAGATCGTCCACCAATCCTAACGCCACACTTCTCCTCATAGAGCCCTGCCTTGTGGATAATCTGCTCTGCATACAGGTTGAAAAGGTATGGAGACAGGACACATCCCTGGTGTATACCCTTCCCAATTTAAAAAAAAAAATAATAATAATAATGCTGCTTAAAGAAAGTAAAAAAGGGTGTGCCTTAGAGGCACAGATAGTGACTCTGTGCATACTGTCAGGAGGGGTCAGGCCTTAGAAAAACGATATCTCCTGGGGAAAGGTGGAGGGCCAATGAAAGAGAGGAAGACCTTCCACAAGGTGGGTTGACACAGTGTCTGTAAAGAGTGGGCCGGAGCGTATCGGAGATGGTGAGGATGGCATGGGACAGGGCAGGTTTCAGGTCTGTCCTTCATACAGTTGCTATGAGTCTTAGTCAACTCGATGGCACCTACCAACGATTGTTCCAGGCATAGTATGAGGAGCTGGGGCTATGCCAGCCCACAAACTGGACGTAAACTTGGCCTTATGACATGCACACGCCAGAAGGAGCACACATGATGATGATCTGTGTTCTGGGTGAAGGCGGGGTCTTCTCTTACACACCCTGCTTTCATGGGTCTCATCCATCTCTCTCCCTTTGAGTTCGGGTGACAGTTAACCAAGAAGAGGGTGTGGAGACAATAAGAAGATTGAGTTGGGACCTGTTAAGTTTGAAGAACCAGCCAACAACAGTTCAGGCAGATAATAAATTACATCACTAAATGACATCCCCTATCTTTTTCATAGAACTTTGGAAAATGCTGTTTAATGACTCCATTACGTTGCCTCATAGTTGAAAAAAAAAAAAGCATTCTTTCTGGAGACACATGTTTTATATTATAAGTGTGATTTTGTCACAGAAAAGCTGAGAACAACTTACTTTCAATATTTTTTACCCCCCCCCCCAAATAGTTAAGATCCCTTATGGGTCAAAGAGTAGCTAAGCTGTGTAACAAAATAATAATTCCACTGAGAATTGGTGCATATATGAGCTCCTTATAATGGCAAGAAAGTGAAGAAGGGGGAATCATGTGTTAGCACGGGGGATGGAAAATGTGATTATGAGATTCCATAAACCTGTCAGAACTCTTCTGTTGAGAAGGGGTCTTTCCTTTGAGAGACATTCCTGAAAATAAGAGACAACAGAGATTTGTGAAATAAATTAGGAAGCATCAGTAGCTTCTAGAATATGGACTTGCACTTAATGTGGAAAGATGTACTTGAGAAGCAAAAATATGTATTACAGATATATTGCTGCACGATCCTAATTGTCTTATGTACCCTACGAAATCTTAGTCTATACATAAAGGGGCTACAGAAGGTAGGATATTTTAATGACTGTTTCTGGAATTGAGTTAGAGGGTCCTATTTCACAGCTGACACTGCAAATCTGTTTTTGCTTAATTACTTGGGCTAAGAAAAGATGCCTTAGTAAAATGAGAAATGATACATTCCCATTATGCTCAGTTGAGAGCAATGTTCCAAATAACTGGACAGTGTTTGCATTTTTGCAGGGTGTCCCTGGATTAAAGGGAGAGCGCGGAGAGCGGGTAAGTGTCCTCCAGCTCTGTCTGCTGGTCCACACTGGTCACGGGGTCTTCATTGCATGAGCTTTCTAAAGGCTGACCACTCACTGCCGTGGTTACTCATTCCTGTTACATCCTATCTTCTCTTCACTTCTCCCCAGCTCCTTTGATTGTGAGCATATTTGGAACTGGGAAAAGTCAGGAGGGCTGGAAGGCAGAAGAGCTAAGGTCTCGTTATTTAGCTACTACTTTCTGGCTAAATGACCTTGGACCCAACTCTAAGAATAAAAATGGAGAGAATCAAACTTGTGTCCTGCCAAAGTGGACTTGAGGAGGACATTTATAGGTAGCCCCAGCTTATGATTTGTTTAAGACCAATCAGATTTATGAATGTCATTCCTTTTTGTGTGTACATCTTATAGCTAGTAATGTAGTAATATGTAGTGCATACAACTTGGGACATGTAATTTGTTAGTGTTATCAGCCTCACATATTCTATTTTATCATTTACTCTTTAGAACACTGCTTCTTTGTGAGCTATGGGCTGCTCTACAGTGAAGTCTGTATCAAGCACCATAAGAAAAAAAAATTGGCAATGTTCAGCTCCAACAACATATGACGATTACACTGACACTGACTTTGACAACCATTACAGCTTAGGCTTCATTCCGAAAACATTGATGCTAACTTCAATGTGGAGCACACCTCCAGGGATCTTACTAAGAGCTTTGCACCTTAGGAAGCATCTGCTGTTAATTTGAAGTGGGATGTTTGACTTCTGACATAACTGCCTTAGGATGGAGTCACCAGGCTAGAGCTCTCTTGTAAAGGCTATGAGAGGGGAACGCTTGTATATAGTGGATGGGAAACAGCATCAAAACAATAAAATCTCTGCACAGACGCCCAGTAGTAGAATCAGACCCATGTTTTTCTTGATAGATTCACACTGGCATTCAGCAAGGAAATGAGCAAGCATAGAATGAAAACAAAACCCCACAAACCTGACCCCGGAACTAGAAGTAGTTCCTTTTAAGGGGCTTCTCTTTCTGTTCAAAAACTGATCAATGGTTGTGGGATAAAGGAGAAGAAGCAGTGACTTTGCGAGCTGAAGACCCCGATCTCAGCCACTTTGTGGGACCTTGAACAAATTCTTTAGCTCTGCTTGGCTATAACATGGGCTCAGGCTCTTTCTCTGAGTCCTTAGTAGTGTCAAATAAGCTGCTTCTGGAGAAAGTGCTGTATTTTTTAAGCTCCAAAAAGCCATGAACGATGTGCTAAATAATATATGGGTTTGTCTCAGAACTCTTGAATTGGTTTAGAATCAGGGACCAAAAATACTTGTGCCCTTTCCTTTCATAAAGCTCTCAGGGACTCTGGTGCTCAGGCATTTCCTGGTTCCTCTCTGCATGCACCTTGATGGTCAGTCTGACCTGTTATGGGGAGCTGTCAAGCCCTGATGGAAATGACGGGCCAATCAGATGTGATTCCTCATGGTGCTGGCCAGGTGGGTGGGTTGGAGCTGATTGTTAAGATGCCCATTGTCTGTTCCAGGGAGACCTGCAGTCTCAAGCCATGGTGAGGGCGGTGGCTCGTCAGGTGTGCGAACAGCTCATCCAGAGTAAGTGCGTTCGAGTTGCAGTGCTGTGCCCATTACCTTCCAAATGAGACTTTCCCGGGAGTGCCAAGATGAAAGAAAGCCCCTCCAGAGCTTTGTCTTCCTGAAGACACATAATCTTTACAAATGATCACCCTCATCCACCCTCTGGGGAGCTCTGGTGGCCTAGTGGCAAGAGCTGCATTGCAATCCTTAAGGCACTCAGTTCGAGGCCACCAGCTGCTCTGCAGGAGAAGGATGGGAAGTCTCCTGTCATGTGATTAACTGCCTCTGAAAATCCACTGGAGGGTCAGCTGTGGGCTGGTTTCCAACTTGATGGTACACAACAACCACAACAACAACCATCCATCTCTAAGGACCTCAGGTGGCTTAGTGGTAAGGAATTGTACTGCTAATGCCAAAGTACATGGTTTGAATCCAGCAGCTACTCTGCGGGAGAAAGATGGGCAGTCAACTCCAATGCAATTTCCTGCCTCTAAAAACCTCTTGGTGGGTCAGTTGTGGGTCAGTTCCTACTTGAGGGTACACAAGCACAATTACGTTTATCTCTGGTGGCCTAGAAGCTGGGCTGCAGTCCCAAAGGCATGCAGTTCAAAGCCACCAGCTGTCCCACAGGAGGAAGATAGGCAGCCTCCTCCCATGTGATTAACTGCCTCTGAAAACCCACTGGAGGTTTGGGTTGGCTATAGGTTGATTCCAGCTCGACGTACACAACCACAACACCACCACAGTTATGGACTTCTACATGACTGCTGGTGTTTGTTGGCCACTGAGTCACATCCAAGCCATGACATGTCTGTATGACAGAGTAGACCTTCCCCAGAGGCTTTCCCAGGCTGTTACCTTTATAGGACTGGAACACCACATCCTTTATCCCAAAGAGCCATGGGGCAGCTTCTGATTACCCACCTTTTGGGGGCTTGCCCATTTTACTACCCGGGCTCTACTGTTTCATCAAAGAAATATATTTTTGCCAATAAAGACATGAAGATGTAACTTGGCTGTTGAGATCAATTTCAGTCTTCCTTCCTCAGCTCTGATTGAATAGATTCCTTTTTCTCCTTAAGTGTTCAGTGCTTGAAAGCTATGAGACCTTGTTAGAAGCTATGCCCAAAGAGGTTACACATCGTGTTGATGTTAATTAACTTCTGATTTGAAGCAGTATTTTCTTCTAATGCCTTTATTAACCTATGATTCTTCTCTTTATTCCTTGGGCTCTACGCCACACACACACACACACACACACACACACACACACACACACACACACTGGGATAGGCTTGATGTGACATTTGACATGACATCTAGTCTTCATATCAAAAATATCTTCAGGCTTGAACACACTTTGATAGTACACCCGTCTCATTTTCCCATTTCAATCTGAACTTGTCCTCAGCGCAGTATCTCAGGGACAGAGGGACAGGGGCAGTTCATTTGCTGTTATACACATCCGTTTTGTACATTTCTTTCTGACCATGCACAGTAAAGTTTTTCTCACCATTCAACTCAGAGGGTTCTAGCATGAACCCCTCTTTTTACTAGTGATTATCAGTTCAGTTCTAGGAAGATCCGAGGCTGAATAGACACCCACTTCTCTGTGGCCTTGCTTTGCTGTCAAGTCTCAACTCTCTCACCTCCAGGATTCACATGACCAGATCAGCTCTTTGACTTTAACCCAGAGGAGTTTCCAATTTAAGACCGTGGAGGCCTGCAGCCATCCAAGAAGGTCATGTCTGTGTCCAAAACTCCAGTGTTCCATTCTGAAATAAAACTCTTACTGTGGGGAGACCGGAAGTGAGGGTCTGCAGCAATAAGGAAAGTTTTCAATTGAAACAAATGTCTTGGGGTCAACTGATTACAGTGTTAATATCCATATGACATAGTAGTAATGCTCCCTACATTCTTAACTTCATTTCATTATATAATATATTGCCCCAATGGCGTGTGTGTGTGTGTGTGTGTGTGTGTGTGTGTGTGTGAATTTGAATTGTGTTCTTTTGTATTGGCAGTGCGGCTCCTTACTCCGAAGCTCCCAGAGTCTGTAGTGTATACCAGAGCAGGCTGCTTGTCCAGAGGTTGATGGTTAAAATCCCCCAGTCATCCTGGAGGAGAAAGCTTTACAGCTTCAGAAGCTGGATGGGGGGAGGGTCACTGTTGACTCAGCAGCGGTGGGTTTGGTTTGATTTGACCTTGGTAATTAGCTTTACATCGAATCCCATCCTATTCGGAATCCGCTTTTCTGACACCCCAATCACCTTCTCAAATGCTCCCTCTGGGCTCTTTCTTCCTTTTGTCCCAGCTCAGAGCTGAGTTTATCGGTAGCACATAATTTCCAGTGCTGAGAAAACAATGCCCTTGGCAGCTCATTAAACGTTTGTAGATTTGAAAGGAAAAAAAATGAAGTTTGTGGGTTCGAGCCCATCCAGAAGTGCCCTGGAAGAAAATCCATGACATACCAGCTATGGAAAACCCTGTGGAGATCCCTAGACTATTGCCATGAAGCAGTCTTTATTTATTTTTTTCCCCATTTTTAAAAATGATTATTACTAATTTTGATGAAAATTTACAGAGACTTTGGATCTCCATTCATTCCTTGTTGCACTTTTCTCCCTGCCCATCCTCCTCCCCTCCCCCACCCAGTTCACTCTTCTCTTTGAAAAGTAAAAGAAAAACTCTTTCATTGTTAAAAAATCCCTCTGCCCAAGTCCACTCCGTTATGCAGTCTTCATTCTGGACTCCTGTCATGACAGTAATATCTAATCATATATCCCTTTTAAACAGTTCTTTAAATCAGAGTATCCCTTGAAAGTCTTCTAAGAGCCACATAATAGTTTGGCTTACCTAGTTAAAAACCTCTACTTTGAGCATTCTTCTTTTTTTGTTGTTGTATTGTTGTGTGCTGTTGAGTTGGAACCAACCCATAACAGACCTTCTAGTGGGGTTTGAGAGGCATTTAATCACACAGGAGATTGTCCATCCTTCTCCCACGAAGCTGCTTGTTGATTTGAACTGAGTGTCTTTAAGGTTACAGTGTAGCTTCTTGCCATGAGGCTACCAGAACTCTCTTCTTTTAAGACTTGTTTGTATGGCATCACACTGACAGGAATGACTCAAAGGATTAAATGGGCAGTGAGTTTTCTGATGGGAGGAATGAGGAAGAACAAGTCTGAAAAGGAAGGTGAGGTTGGTTGCCCAGGTTGAAGAAGGTAAACCATGTCCCTGAATTGAACACACAGATGTTGCTGAGCTAGCCTGTGTTTTGTTTGTATAAATTCTCTATAACAGCATGAATAAAGACAATAAACACCAAGGAAGAAAGGAAGAAAACCCAGTATAGCTCTCTTCCATTCTGATACTTACTGGACCACTATGGGTTGAATCCAACACGAACCATTTCTTTAAAAAGAGTAATCATTTCTAACAAGGTCAGTTATCTGGTTTCTAGCCCCCGGTGACTGAAGAATTAGGCTGGGAAGGGTACAGGGAAAGCTGGCACAGCCGGTGTGATGACCACTGATAGCAGACAGCCCCCTGGTCAGAAGAGGAAGCTACAAAGGCAGATGTGGAAATGGCTTACTCTGCCCAGCCCGTACACCTGCCAGTGACTACCAGGGAGCCCGCGGGGGGTGTTCTAAGTGATGCCCACCGCCCTCCGCTTCAGGGGAGAAAGCATCGGACGGAGTTTTAAAACAGTATCTCTAAAAATCATCACCATTTTTATTTAAGTTTGAATGATTGAGAAGGGGAACAAAATTGCCATCTAGAAAATTCACCTAGGTTGGAAAAAAACTTTATCCTGTGATGCCAAAAAAAAAAACAAAAAAAAGAAAAGGAGCGTTAGGGGATCATTTTTAAATCTATAATTAGAACTATTGAAATACGTTTTTTCAGATATAACTAAGTTATGAGATTAAAGAAGAGAGTTTTATACACACATCCATATATATAAAGTTGACATAATAAATATGTTTATATTGTAGAGGGGCTTCAGGCCTTTTGTTCATAGGGTCACTATGAGTCATGCTTGAGTCAAAGGCAACCAACAGCAATATTATATAATATATAGTTTCTCTTTTATTTATATAATATATAGTTTTTTACATTTTACTTATATAAAATATATTGCACTTGTGTTAAATGTTTGTAGTAGATTTATAGACTAAAATATGTTTACATTAATATGCTTGTGATCTTTATAGAATATAAAATGTAGTCTATATGTTTATGTTAGAGTGCTAGATAGACGTGAATATATCTGCAGATATATAAATATGGTTAGATAGGTATGAAGCCAGAAGGAGATTCTGTAGCTCCGGTTTCCTGCAAAAAGGGTGGGCAGCTGACAGAGCTGTCTGGGGATTTGTAAGCAACAGGGTGTGGCAGGTTTTGTGGGTTGGGAAAAAAGACAAATAGCTTGAGAGGAAATTACTGGAGAAAAGAGGCAGCTGGGCCAGGGGTTAGGTGTCAGATAAATATTGAGGGATAGATAGAATTTACGACTTCTGCTGCATGAGGTTTGCTGAGGGGTTGGTGAGATGCTTACTTGAATACAATCTAGATGTTATCCAAGGTAAACTGTTTAAAAATGTTAAGTTGGAAATCAACATAATTCAGGTGGGTGTGCTTCTCCTGCTGATGCTGTCTCATAGAATTGCTAGCAGCCCTAACAGAGTCCCCAGTCCTCCCTTTTTTTAAAAATAAAAAAAAAATTAATTTTAATGAAAGCTTACAGAGACTTAGGATTTCCATTCATTCATTCATTGTTGTACTTTTCTCCCTGCCTATCCCCCCAATTTGCTCTTTTCTTTGAAAAGTATAAGAAAAATTATTTCATTGTTATTCAGTCCCTCCCCCCAAGTCCACTCCACTGTGCAGCCTTTGTTCTGGACTCCTGTCATGACAATAACACCTAATCACACATCCCTTGTAAACAGTTCTCTCCCTCATCTGTTTCAATGCAGTATACATCATTCATCCCCTCTTTCTCAGTCTTCCCTTTTTTGATGGACCATCATTGAATGTTGTCTTTGTGCTGTTGCCTTTCAGGTCACATGGCTCGGTTCACAACCATCCTCAACCAGATTCCCAGCCACTCATCGTCGATCCGGACCATCCAAGGCCCACCTGGGGAGCCTGGAAGACCTGGCTCTCCTGGAGCCCCTGGGGAACAAGGACCCCCAGGGACCCCAGGCTTCCCAGGAAATGCCGGTGAGCCCGGAACCCCAGGAGAACGAGGTAGGTGCGCTCACTCTTTCCACGAGAAGTCCTGTGAGGTGGGTACAGTGAAGGAGTGTGTGGCATTTGGTTCATACAGTGGCAGTACCTGCAATGAGAGGTCTAAATTAGTCCTGAGCTCTGGTGGTGCAGGGACTAACAGCACAGCTGATAACCTAAAGGTTAGGATGTTGGAACTTACCCATCAACTTCTCTGGAGAAAACTTTGGTGATCTGTCTGAAAAATTAATAGTCTAGGAGACCCAGCTATACCCTTGGTTTGACAGTGCAAATTCTTCAACACTAAGCCACCAGGGCTGCCTTCCTATAATGTGAGGCAGTGTTTACTACTGCTTTTTAGCATTTATGGCTGTGTACAATAATAATAGTTTTGGGGTGAATTTCACCCAGTTTCCATAAAGGATACAGATCATCCACTCTAGGAACAGATGGAAGAGCTATACAAATTTAAGGTTTGTGTATTAACCACAAGCATGTTAATGAGAAAAAGAGACCGTTGTCAAAAAGGGCATTTTTTTAAATAAATTTTTGTGATTTTAAAAATGTTTACAGAAGACTTGACTTTCCGCCCATTCATTGTTGCACATTTTCCTCCCTACTCCCCCCAGTTAGTTCTTAATTTTTTTAAATAATTTTTTATTTTAATTGTCATTTTAACAAAAGTTTACAGAAAGTTTAGGTTTTTCTTTCTTTCTTTTTTCCCCTTTTTCCCCCTTTTCCTTCCCCAGTTTGTTTTTTTTCACTAGTTTAAAATTCTAATACAAATTAAAACAAATTTTTAAAATTTTCCTCACCCCTCCACCCAACAAATTGTGCAACCCCATGATTAATCCCCCTTCCCCCTGCACATCCACATCCCTCTGCTTCCAGCCTCTCCCACCCCTCCTGGATCCTTATGCTCCTACAATAACGATCTTATACAATATTTATCCTTGTGGGACTGAGTTAGTTCACTCAGCATAATGCTCTCCAGTCCCTCCCAAGTTAGGTAATAATTTACAAAGTTATTGCTCCTGCGTGCTGCATAGTATTCCATTGTGTGAATATGCCATAATTTCTCAGCCCATTCATTTGTGGTTAGACATTTAGGCTATTTTCATGTTCTTGCAATGGTGAATAATGCTGCTATGAATATTGGTGTACTAGCTTTTCTCTTTAAAAAATTAATTTGTTTTTGAAGTTTCCCTCCTACCCCCTCCAGTCCAGTAAAAAGAACATTTTCCAAGATATAGCTTCTACAATGCTGATTTGTCCAAAAGCAAAATGTTAAGTCACTGCTCTGTAAATTGGTGAGCTTTTAAAATTAGGAGTGCAGAGGATGGATTAGATAAAGAACAGTCTTTTTTTCCACATCTGTTCATTGACTGAGTCCCATGAGTTGCATTGCTGCCTCTGAACCTTTGTTCAAGCTGTGTTTCCTTCTTTGGAAATGCCCTTTGCTACATCTCCCTCTTCCATTGTAGCCCTGGTCTTTCTGGCTTTTCTGTTTGTGGAGCCCCCAGAATACAAAAGCCTCTACCCCTGAACGCACATGCATGCACTGTCAGCCACACCCGCATAGTAAAAGATCGCCCAGAGCAGCATCAGGTCTCATGTGCTTTGCACAATGCTCTGTACATAGAAGCTACTCACTCAATAGTCAGTGCTTTGATTGCAACTCCATTCTAATTTTCTTTTCAAAAGGTTTTGCCCTGTGCCAGGCTGTGAAATCAGTAGCCGTAGACAAAGGTATGAGTCCCTAGCGACACAGAAGATCCAGCAGCAGCAGGCCACCCCATGATGGTGTTGGTTATGGATAAACTGTGACTCAGGCAGCACAGAGCCAGCACCTGAGTCACTCTGGGCAGGTCACAAGATGTCTTTGTTGTTTCTGGAGGTCCTGGCCCCTTTCTTGCCAGACTGAGCCTTTCCTCCTCTGCCAGACCTGTGGAGAGATCACACCACAGAAAAAATCGGCTTGGAGTTCACCAACTGTAGCTCAGACAAGTCTTGGAAATATTAATTTCCATGAAATCATTTCATTACATACCTATAGATAGAGTTCCCTAAAGAGCATAGCAGATAAGTGAAATCTGGCATTTCCCAAATACATAGAGGAAGGGAGTGAAATAGAGAGTGAGAAGTGCATCAGGGACTGTCCAGATCATTCCCTGAGTGGTTTGGATTTAGGTTTACTATTGTTTTCGAATATTGTGCCAAATGTGATAATGGTTACCCGTGGTGGACAGTGTTTAGTGGAGCTTCCCGATTAAAACAAGCTTGGAAGCAGGAGTAGCATCCACTTCTGAAATGGCTTGCCTCTGGAAACTATGAACAGTGCTCAGGTCTTTCGTTCATAGGGTCTCTATGAGTCATCTATGCCTGGACTAACAACAATAACAGCAACATTGTTGTTATCAGAGGGAGCTATGGTGGCCTAGTGGCAAGAAGCTATAGAAAGATGGACAATCTCCTCCTGTGCAATTAACTGCCTCTGAAAACCCACCAGAAGGTCAGCTGGGGGTCAGTCCTGACTCTACAATACACAACAACAACAGTGTTGTTATCAGATGCTGCTGAGCCTGTCCCACACTGTATTAGTGGTAGAACAGCCCCTGAGGGTTTTCTAGGCTCTAGTCTTAAAGGAGCAGGCCACCAGTCTGTTCTTCTGTGGAATCAGTGAATGGGTTTGAACTGCCAACCTTTTGATTAGCATCTATGAATGCTCAGCCATCATGCTTCGAGGGCTTCTTTGGGACTTGCTGTAATACAGTTTATTGTACAACCCTCAAGAAACTCTAAGATTTATTCCTCTTTTATTTCTTGAACTCTGACCACTGCATTCCTATTCTGACTGTAACCTTTCTCCAATCAGGACCTCATGTGGTTCCAACTTTCTTTCCTTGCAACAGATCCATTTTGAATCCCAGTCTCTGTATCTTTTTTTCTCCTCTGTATCTTACATAATAAATCCATTCTTTTCCTTACTTGATTCATTTACACTTTCATTATCCATGCTGGTATCTTGAACCATATATTTACTCGGCCAGCCTCAAGTTTTCTGTTGAATAATTTGCAAAACTAAATAAATATCTTTCACATGCTTGAAACGAACTAGAAGATACACCTGATTTCAGTATTCAGGGACTTCTTTCCGTTTTCATGATTTTTCAGAAATTTTTGCATCAGAGAAGCCATCCAAGCAGTGGTTGGTTTTGATGTTTATATCTGTAACAGCTGGAATTAATATCTGGTTTACTTCATATGATACATCAACAAATATTTATTGAATTCAGAGTTTATGTAAGCTTTTGGCTCAGCAACGTGTGAGATAATCCCCTTATTTATGCCTTTCGTGTATTAGATACTAAATGCATTTGCCAATTGCTGTGCTTAGACCCTGGCATGCACTGTTTGGTTCAAATAGAAAATGTGACGTGGTTAAGGAAGAAATAGGAATGCTTTACTGACTAGACAAGATGGCAGGTGCTAAATGCTGTTTCTGAGTTGTGAGGGAAGGACGTGTTTGGAATTTAGAGGCAGCCCTCGGCGTGGTCTTTGATGAAGAAGGGTGTTAGATTCATTAACCAGTGGTGGCTTATTGGTACGGACTTTCCTACCAACCTAAATGCTTGGTTTTTGAATCCACCCACTGCTCTGAAGAAGAAAGATGGGCAGTCTCCTCCTGTGTAATTTATAGCCTCTGAAAACCCACTCAAGGGTCAGCTATGAGTTGGTTCCAACTTGACAGCACATAACAACATAAACTACTAGTGGTTCAGTGGATGGACTTTTACCTCTCCTGACAGAGACTCAGTTATGAATCCAGACAATTGAATACTTGTAAATTGAATATGAGAAGATCGGTCATTGGTCTCCCATGGAGCCACTGGTAGAGTCTAACTATCTTTGGTTTAGCAGTGCAACTCCCCACAGAGAAGGGTGTTAGAGCTGCCCTGTGTCTAATCCTCAGGCTACATTGTGGATCAATAAGACTGAGAAGTCGAGAAAGAAAATTGAGTTTCAGAATGACTCAGCAGGGAGGGAGCAGTAGCTTTTTGTGTTTACTATTCCTGTGGTTGAAAAGAAAGCTGGTGGAACTGAAGAGATATCTGGCAGAACTTTGGTCTCAAATTCAGAACAAAAGCAAAGCCAGGAATCTGTAATGGTAACAATTGTTTCTTGTACAACTTCTTAATATACCATGTATCCTGCTTTCTTCTTGGGAAAAATGATCTCTGGCTAATTTTCTTTTTTATCAACTTAGTTACAAATAGAAGACCAGTAAATCAGTATAATCTGGTGACTGGCAAGAAAATATTCACAAGTTCTCAATGTTCTTTTGTATTATCATTGACATTCAATTACATGAAATATGGCTGTCTTTGTACTGCTAATAAGATTCTGCTGAAATACGTGATTTCCTCTTCTGGTTTTCCATTGTCTATCTCTCATCTCTTGAAAGATGAACTCCAGACAAATAGAGTTTTCTCTTTTCTTACCCATCAAGTGCCTCAAAACAAAGCAACAAAACTCAAACTCACCCTCTGTAGTAGATTCTAACTCGTGGTAAACTTTCATTGGCTTTATGGGACTCTGAATCTTAGTGAGAAGAGACAGAACATCTTTCTTCTGAAGAGCTGGTTGTAGATGTGAGCCACACAAGATGAGGGGCCTCCTGGGTGGCAGCACAACACGCTACTGATTACACCACCAGAGCTCCTGTTACTTACCTGGTCGAGTCCAATTGGCATGTGTTTTATTTAGGACAAGACCGTTCTCTGATTATTTGCTGGATTGTGTCTTCCAGATACATGATCACCTACAGACATTCATAATGAATCCTTTTTCTTTTTTTAATCTTTCCCCCCGCATATTACAAAATAACCCCTTACATTGATTATACCTACAGAGAAGTTCTATATTTTGTAATCTGTTAGTGAAGTAACCATACAGTTTAGCAACTTAAAATGACGAACATAACTTTTGTGGCTCAGGAGATTTGGAAATGACTTGGTGCC